GGTCGGGACCGCTGCGGGATCAAGAGAGGGCCGCTGCGAGGGTGTTCCACTACGACCAGCGCGTGCACGGGGGCGGCACGGCCACTCACTTCCGCTGTTTACAACACGGGAGCAGCGCACATTTACACGCACACACACACACGTCACGGCCGGGGGAGTGGGAGGCGCCGAGTGTAAACCCCCGCGGGGCCCTGCAGCAGCAGAGCAGCGCGCAGCTGCGGCGCGCGTCGGACCTCCTCCTCTAGTCCGGCTACACACGTGATAAACAAAGCCGCTTCAAGAGCTGGCGGCAGTCAATTAATGCAAACTATCGGACGCTCAAGAGAAGTCCACACGACGCAGTCCGACAGAGGAAGTTTGTAACGAAAAGTGGTTGGCTCAGTACGAATATGTTTCAAACGTCGTTACTCTAAGTGCGTAGTGGTGCTCACTAATGTACTGGGTGTTTTGCAATATCTCCCTAGTCCAACTGAAGAGCGTGCGGCAGCTCAGCCGTGGACGCCGCGAGGAACCGCGCCGGTGGCGAGCGCTGGCGCCGGCCCGTCTCGCGGCGCCTCCAACGCAGGAGCTAGATCACGGCCGCTGCCGCGCCGCCCCGCGAAGAAACCGCGGCGGCGGCGAGCGTCTTGAACCCAAACCTGTCCCCCCCTCTTGCCACTGTTGATGAGTTATACCGGGGGAGCCGCGAAGGGGGCAGCAGACGCGGCGTGCGGCGCGACAAGACGGGGCGGGGCGGGGCGGGGTGAGGTGGGGTGGGGTGAGGTGGGGTGAGGCGGGGCGGGTCCGTCCCATGGGGTCGGCGTCCCTGACCCAGCCACACGGCGCCCCGAGGGCTCGCCGCCACCGTACGCGCCGCCACGCCACGCAAAGCAACTCTCCCTCTCTCTCTCTCCCCGCGCCTCTCTCTTCCCCTCTCCTCCCTCCCTCTCTCTCTCCTTTGGAACCAAAATAGCGCAGAGCAGCCTCCGCCGCAGGATGTAAAACGTCTGGCTAGCGTCTACCCGCCCCGCCCAGAGCGCACACCGCCGCCGCGCCCCTTCCCCGCGCTACTCACACACTCACACACACACACATACACGGCAAAGGTGCGCGCTCGAGTGAAAAACAGGCGTCGCGTATGACGTACTTCTCGTACTTTGCTTGTTGTACTTCTCGCACTCAATTGAATTCCTCGGCCGTGGCTCACCGGCCGCCTGCCTGTGCCCACCACCAACCACTGCTCGCTCGCTGCAGAGCCGCAGCCCTTCCGTCCGGTGAATGTACACCGCACACGCCTGCTCACCGCCAGGAAGAGCCCCGCCCACCAGCTCCGCCGGCGCCAGCTGCCCCCAGCCCTGCAGCTGCGTCACTGCCGACGCCACGCCACGCCCCGCCACGGCGAAAGTGAGTCAGGTGTGATGTCAATGGACACGGGCGGGGCGGGGCAAGGCGCGGGCCGGCGGCGACCTGGGGGCCGCCGATAAGAAGCGCCGGCCGCGGGTGCGCGCGCGTCAGCAACCTCCCCCTTCCCCCTCGCCTCCAGGATACGTCCATATACGAAACCGCGCCAGGCAGGTGACGTATTTTCCATGACAGTCACGACTGTTTGCTCAGATTACAATGCAATTCCTTCAAAACCTTACCCTTTCCGACCATGGCTCAGCAACAGGCACACGCGTGACTAACCATCACCGCAAACCTAAAAACGCCAGTAATTATTTAACTCACGCACAAAAAATATAGAAAAAATAAATTTTTGTATGAGCTGCTCTTTGCGAATAAGGGCGCGCGCGCGAAGCTGCGAAAAAAAGAGCGTGGAAAAAATTACCCACGACGACAGCTTTGAGCTGCTTTTTCGCACTCGGATGAGTAAAAATAGAGGAAAAATAAAGGAAAACGCCGGGCGAGGCGGGGCGGGGCGGCCGGAGGAGACAGCCATAAAAATTGTTCCCCCGTTTCGCTGGTGTGCGGGGCTCGCCTCTTCCTCGCTGTGTTTTCTGTCAAAATGCCAGCCAGCCGACAGAAAAGAGAAGGGGGCAAACGGGGAAAGAGGGAAGGAGGAAGGGAAGGAGGGAGGGAGGGAGAGAGGA